GGGGGGGGGGGGGGGGGGGGGGGGAGAGGAAGAGGTTACTTCCTTTCTAGAATAGAAATCAAGAGTTTTACAAACTTTAGAGGTTAGATATTACTTTAAGATATGTGACAATGACTTATTGGTTCAAATTCTGTAAGAACCTAGTGATTCTTCTTATTTTGGGTAGGCTAGCATTTTAAAAAGATACCATAAGCCTGGAACTTTAGATTGAGATCCAATAATGGGAGCATTAAATCTGTCTAGTGATAACCCACCTGGAGTTTTCTTGCCAGAACAACCACTTCATGGTCTGGAGAATTGTATTTGTAGCAGTTCATAAACATTAACCGAACATCTGCAGCAAATTCTTGTGTATCTTTATATTCGTAGTTATCCATTTTTTTCTACAAAAGAGAAGAGTTTAGAAGATCACAGCTTTAGTGCTACACAGTACATTCCCGGAACTAAAAAAGGCAAACATACAACAATCAAAAGAAGAATAAAACCAGAACTTAAACTTACAACAGCAATGCTTTTATCTGGACTACTAGAGTTAGCTTATTATAGCAGCTCCAAAAACTAAATATAGAAAAGTGTGCTCTTTTCTCTCCATTTATGTTGCTGATAGCTGATTCCATGGTTGGATCTAGGATTTTGAAAAGAAGGGGGCAGATGGTGTGCTGTATCACCATATGTAAACACAAAAACACAGCACACTTTTTCTCCAGGTAAAAAGAAACAAGAAGCTTTATTATATGCTAGGGGTTGAGGGTTATACTATTTAGTTCAAAATCAAAGCAAAAGCAAATATAAAATTTTTATTGGAATATGCATTCATTTGCTATATCAGATATAATGTATAACACCACAAGCTACACAAAAAGTAAATCCAAAGACAAAACAAAAAATGTAGCCTTGAGGATCTTGACAATACACCCAAGGCTTCATTAAAAGTTATTTCCATACCCAAGCTGATGTTCACCCAAGTTAAATGTTTTCACAGTTGATTTATTATTTTTAGCTAGAGTTAAAAACAGATTTGCAGGGCTGTGATACAGGAGCTACATTAGGAGGAGCAGCAAACAAACAGCAGAATTGCAGAAGAAAGGAGAGCTTGACTAGTAGATCATAAAAAAAAAAAAAAGGAGAGGGTTGTTAATACTTGTAGTATGAAGAGTTTAGATGAAAATCAGGTAGATTATAATAAGCCACTAATTCAAGCAACTCCCTCGCTGCTGCCTGAATAGAAACACTGCTGCCACTGCTTTGCAAGGACCAGGCATCAAAAAAGAGAGGGGGCATAGCTGCATCACTGTAATGTTCCTGGATCTGCCCCTGGCTAGTTCAATTAAGCTTTGTTAATTAACCTAATTGGTTCTAAGCAGGGTTAAAAAACCAAGTCTAGTCTTTCAAAAGCTAGCATGGTAGTACTGAACTAGTTTGCCTTTCATTTTGTTTGTGTCCTATATTGCATGCTTTGAATATAGCATTTTTTATTGCAATATTTAAAAAAAATTAAAGGATGAAAGTACCATCTTTAAAAAGTAGCTTCAGCACAGACTCTCTCTAAGAAAGGGTTTTGGCACAGGCACATAGAACTAGCCAGTACTGTTTGCTGTACATGATGCAGAGCATGCCAGAGGTTCACTGCTGTGAAGGAAGAAGTTACCTCCTTTCCTTCCTGCCAAAATGCATGCAAAGAGGCTATTTAAACACGAATTTTGGGTGGCAAAAAGGTGACATCTTTTCTGCAGTAGCTGGAGATTCACTGTTTTGAGGTGAGGTGCTAGGTGTGTATTGAGGGGCTAGTAACCCTCTAGCTCAATTCCATCACTGCTACCCCTTCTCCCCTCTGGCAGCAGTGTACCCCACTTGCCCATGCTGCTCAGTTTTTTGTAGCCATAGCAACTGACAGCTTTATTTAAAAATTCAGGGTTTTAAATAATATTTGGCTTCAATTAAAAAAAGGTATTTGTTAGATAGCCAAAAGAACTTTAGGGCACAAGATTCCACCAGAAGTGGGCACCTATTTTGCCCCTCCTCTTCCCCTCCCCTCAATTAATATAGTCCCTTGCAGTGTATTTCGTTATACAGGAGGACAAACAGGAGCACTTTAATAGTAGCCAAGTAACTAAGTCTAAAGCCATTCCTTCATTTAAAGGTGAGGCAGCACTTAGAATTGAGATACAAGGCTTTTGCATTTTCAGGTAACATTATGAAAATGGGCCCTGAATAGGTGGGTTAAAACAGGAAATACTAGAAGATTATACAAAAACCCCTGTGACCAACCAGGGTTAAAAAAAAAAAAAATCACTCTTGGGAGAGTGAGTGTTTGTCCATGCTGTGCCTTCTCTCAGAAAAGAATACAGTTCTCCAGCACTCCCACCCTCTGGGTGACTGTGTCAACTTGCTGGACTCTGCTGCTCCCCTCAATCCCTATACTGTGCTGCAGGGAAATTCAGAATGACCACAGGCAGTCTGTGCTGGCCAACCAGGGCTGCCCCCATGCACTACTGGCATCTAAGAAAGCCTGCAGAACATGGAGATGTGTGTACAGGCCACTCCTTCCCGACCTGCCAGCTGCAGTGTCGGCATTGCAGGCTCTCCCCTTTCCAGGGCCTCATCATTCAAATGTCTGTGCATGCAGCTCTGGATAAGTTTTTATACCAGGAGAACAAACCCGGGAGAATTCTCCTCGAGTATTTAAATATTTGTACACAGCCTTAAATAGCCCCTAGAAATTGATATACAGCTAAGGAAAATTTTTTGTTACTAGTAGCTCACTTGAATCATAAAGATAAATGTAATTTAGGATCATATATTCATTTTAGTTAAGATCAGATTAGCCTACAGGCAAGAAAAATAATTGTGTCAGTCATCTACAATGCAAAACAGCTAGCATATTCTTTGAATAAGCCACTGTGTATAGAAAGATGTAGCCTCTGTGCTTGTTTATTGCCTTCAAAAAAAAAGAGGACATTTGTTACATGTTTTCAGGTTACAAATAAGATACCTTGTTAGGGGACCAAAAAACCAGAAATATATTCAAGTCTGAAGCCACCTACCTTAATAATACTGAGGTCCATAGGGCATTTAATTATATCAGGTCCCAAGGCTGCAACATCTGCAGATTTATAAAAAGGCCAAGCATATGACGCATGTTTCTTCAAAAACATTTCTTTAAGAATCTCATTGCAATGTTTCAGTTGTTCTGAAAGTTGAACTTTTTTGACCACCTCAGGAGACTGTTGAGAATCTGGCACATCTCGCTTTGGAAACTTCTCTGGTAGACTACTTTCATTCTCTTCTCTACATGGTTTAGCAACTTTTGGTTCATTAAGTACAGGAGAAAATTCACTGCTTGCTGTAAATAATGCAGTAGGAGTTGTAGTATCAGCCTTCCTTTTCACACCTTTTTTAACCTGGAATACAGTTTTGCAGTTTCTCAGAATATTTCAAGTGACTAGAACAAGACAATCTCCTCATTAAAATGGAGCAAGAGAGGCAGGTTAATAACCAGCTAGTTTAGCACATGGGAGAAGTCTCTTGCTTCTTACCACATACAGGTTCTGTTCACTCACAGGATCTTTTATTAAAATGGCAGGGGCAACATGTAGGGGGTGCATGTGCATCCCCTGAGCGTGGCAGTGCACCCCCTACAAAAAGGCATTGCTGACACGGTTAACAGCACCTGCGGGTGGTTGCTGCTCACCACCCTGCTGCTGGCGGGCAGTCCACAATCCCTGCAAGCCTCTGCCGACACTGCCAGTGGTGGCTGCTGGCTGACCCTTGGGTCGATGCTCGCCACCCCCTCCGCCACTGACAGTGCCAGCGACATCTGCGGGAGCTCCCCCTGCTTACTGCCACCACACCCTCCCCAGCCTCTGGGGACACGAGTTGTTCACGTTAAAATGGTGTTACAGATGCAACGTGCCCCACAAAACAAAATGCACTGATTACTGCCTTGGGCAATATTGATATACTTCCCCTTAGAGAAGGTATTCAGGGTAACTTACTTTTGTTATAGGGACTGTGGCTGGCATTAAAGTACTCAAATGAGCTGTAGACAAAGATGCTAATGTACCCTTCTGTGACACTGGAGTCATAACTTGAGACTGCTCAAGACTTTTAAGTGGTTTCTGTGGAGGATTTTGCTTGACCTCAGAAGCCCCTGGATCAGTCTGCTGAGGTCCTAATAAAAAAAGAAGTCAAAACAGTTTACAAAAAGAGCACACACTTTTCAATTATATTCCAAACCAATTTACTTTTCTCATGTGACTGCTGTTCATTTTACATGGTTATTTAGAACTATGTGCAGGATAATGTTCCTTATTTTTAATGCTTATCTACCAGTGGTATATATTGGAGTGCCATAGGTTATGCCTTTTGGGTCTATGTTCCTAATGGAAGAACAAATCGAACAGCATTCACTTCTGATCAGAAGTTCTGGTTCAGTAGTAGTCACAGACACCCACCACAAGACAATGCTCTGGAAGAGGGAAAGCAAAAAACACACAAAAAAGAACCGCCACACACAGTAACTCGTATAAATATTCTTTATAAAACAACAAAGTGGCAAGTTGGCAAACTACTAATAGTTACAGATATTTATATTTGAAAACTATCATTTCTTCAAAAGATACACACAGTAGGTATTCTGGAAAAGAGAGCCCCTCCCCCCCCCCCCCCCCTATTAAAAAAAAAGAGGAAAAAAAAAAAAAATAATAATAACCCCA